TAGGGTTTGTTGAGGCTCAAACAGTATACATTTGAGGGTAACAAACCAAATATCATTTTAAATGACTGTTGTGGCATGACATCGGCATCTTACTCAGGCACAGTTAGCAAAGAATGCTTAATGTGTTTTAAATAATATTCACAACTGTTAAATATGGCCGAGAGCGGTCTTGGAGTGATTTACTTTTTTGTGAAAATATTTAATTGAATACTAAGAAGATTAAAAGGTGACTCGTGGTGTCGCTGTTGACTAACGGAAAATAAACGCTTGCCACTCCACCCACTCCACTTACTGATTAGATATCAAATGCAGACTGCTGGAAAAACGCATATTTCCGAACCTTCAGGACCCCGTACCTTGCTGTAAAGTTCTAAGGATTGCTGTGTATTTTGGAATAGATTTCACTTTGCCACTGTGGACAGTATAATTGCTGCAAGATGGGTTCTTTTCGAGTCAGGATGGGAGACAAAGGATTTTCAATACCAGGGCCGATCTTCTTCTTTGCCTCCTTTATTATAACGCTGCGCATCGCTCATGGAGATCTAAGTTATAATATTCAAGAGGAGATGAAACGAGACTCCGTGATTGGAAATATAGCTAAGGATCTTGGGCTTGACCTGAGGACTTTATCTTCCCGAAAGGCTCGCATTGATTTTGATGGATCTCGTAAGCGTTACTGTGACATTAATCTGAGAACGGGAGATTTGATCACATCGGAGAGAGTCGACAGAGAAAGCCTTTGTGGCAAGAAACCTTCATGTGTTGTGCAAGTGGATCTGGTGTTACAAAATCCTTTGGACCTTCATCGTGTAAGTGTTCATATTCAAGATGTAAATGACAACTCGCCAAAATTCAGAGAAAATTTGATTGAGATCGAAATAAGCGAGTCAACCGAGAAGGGTAGCCGCTTCTCAATAGAGCAGGCCCATGACGCAGATATAGGTCAAAATGCTGTGCAAAGGTACGAGCTTCAAAAGAACGACATCTTTATTCTGGCTGCTGACAGCAACAAGGTTGAACTCGTACTAGAGAATAAACTTGATCGAGAGAGCCAAAAAGAGATGAATTTACTTCTCGCAGCTTTGGACGGTGGATCTCCTCAGAGATCCGGCACCGTAGTCATACACGTCACTGTGGTGGATGCCAATGATAACGCCCCAGTGTTCAGCCAGGCCGTTTATAAGGCCAGTCTGCCTGAAAATTCTTCTTTAGATACACCAGTGATTAAAGTCAGTGCGACAGATGCGGACGAAGGAGTGAATGGAGATGTAACGTATGACTTAGGGCACATATCTGATGATAATATGAATGTGTTTACTATTGAACACAAAACGGGAGAAATTAGAGTAACTGGTGTAATTGACTATGAAGACAGAAGCTCTTTTGAAATCCCAGTGCAAGCCAAGGATGGTTTAGGACTAAAATCATATGCCAAAGTTATAATAGAGATTACTGACATAAACGACAATGCACCAGCAGTTTCTCTGGAATCGGTGTCTTACTCCATTCCTGAAAACGTGTC